GAAGGTCATCGTCAAAGATTCCTGTTCAGGGGGCAGCAGCGGGCGCCGTTCTTTGGCCCCCTGGTTCGCGGAGGGTGAAGGCTTTTCATTTGTAGACCTCCCAGGCGGCCTCGTCGTTTTCGTCCGTGTACTTGAGTTTCCGCCCAGTGTTTACGACTGCACGGACCGCAGCCGGTCGAGCATGGTGTCGCTTTTGCGCCGCGCTGCCGTCGCCGCTCTGCTTGATGGTCATGTGAATCGCTTTGGCGGCCGCGCCGCCGCCGCCTGCGGCAGCGCCATTCTCCTTGCTGGCGGCCGCAGAGGAGTTGCGCTCCTGGTACGTGACGGCGTCGATGTGGTGGAGCTGCGGGCGGAGGTGCACGAGGTTGGAGACGGGCGTCAGGTGTACGTCCTCTAGACATGGGCAGAAAACTCATCAGTCATCATCACTCGGATCAACGCCCAAGAAGAGGGAGGGGGGGGGGCTGGAGAAGCCAGACGCACCACCTTGGAAGACGCCAATCATGTACTGCACCTCCTTCGAGTCCGGGCAAGTGCCGCCCATTGTTTGGGTCCGCAGCACCTTGTCCTGGCGGACGGCCTCGCTCCAGTCGAGGAAGAGATCGTCGTCTCGGTCGTCCTGGCGCTTCTTCTGCCGCGGGGGCGCCGCGCCGACGCCGAAACCGCCGGACAGGCCGTGGGTGCCGCCGTTCTTGCTGACGAGGGAGTTCTTGAGGTGGCGGCCCCAGTGCATGCCCTTGTCGCGATCATAGCCGCGCTGGTAGTCGAGGGGGATGTCCACCTCGACCATGCCGGCCATGGACTTGAGGCGCATCTCGGTGGGAGGGGCCTGGTCGGGGTTCGTCGTGTTCGGCTGCTGGAGGACCCATAGCTTGCGACCCTGGGGCAGGGCGGGGTTGAGCAAAAGGTTGTACGAGGCGACGATGGGGTCGTCATCGACCGAGGAGGCGTCCATGGTCGGCAGTATCTGGTGTCAAGGTGCGTGCAGCTAGTGCTGGAGAATGAGCAAGGCTGCTGTCGCTGGGAATTGAAAATAAGTCAAGCAAGCGGGTTGGGGGACGCCAGTTCGTTAGGTCGTGCCCCGCGGATTTTCTTATCGATAACTATCCGTTTTCAATGGTTCTGGTGTTGGACCTCAGGCACTTGGGTTGGGGACAACCAACACCAGCGAAGGAATGGGAAAGGTCCTATGCCATGACCGACTAGAAGGATTTTCAGTCAGATCAGGCACATCTATACTGGGTATATAAGATGTCGCTAGATAATTGAAGGTAAGCTTGCTCAGCAATGGCGTAAAGTGTTTTGTTACCAGGGCACAAATTTGGGTTAAGCTGTGATATGATGGGCTGAAGAGCCGTTACTCTACTTGCTGAGCCAGAAGACATGTTAGTCTCAGGCTGCGGCGTCGTGTCCAGCATTGACCTTCTATTGCCGAACGCATATAAGATATGAGTCGAATTGCCATAGGGAGTACCGCTCCTGTTTTGTCACAGGCCAAGGAAGTGTTCGTGGGCCGTAGCAGGTTCACTGGTTCTATCAAAAGTAATCTGTAGGTGCACTGGCCGAGCGAGGTGGCTCAACCTCGTTCGTTGACCAAGAACTCATAGGCTAGCTGATCGCCCACGTGTTGGCCCAGATAGGTCGTGGTTACATCACTTCCAGTCACATACATTCAGCGAATTGACGCCACAAGCTTTTATTATCTGCCTGGCTACCTTGACCGTGCTTCATCCTTGCAAGGCCAACCTGATCATGCTCGTGCATCATACTCGTACACTCGTGTCCCCGTTACCTCGCGCGCGAGAGTCTTAGATAATGTCGCCTCCATAACCTCCCCCGAACCCGCCTCCGTAGCCTCCGCCGCCAAACGGGTTGCCGCCCCGACCGCCTCCCGGCCGCGGCATGCCTCCGCTTGGTCCGATGGGATCCCACCTCGCACCAGGTGGTGCCTGTGGATCGAAACCTCCCTGGCCACCCTGCCCGCCGAACAGCGGATCGTCAAACGTCGGGTGCATACCTCCACCACCACCAGGCCGCGGCAATCCTCCTCCGATGAATGATGGTCGCAAGGGATCATGTGGTCCCAAACCGGGCGGGTTCAGGTCATCGTGGCCGATGTTGAAGGGGGAGCGGCCAGGCATGCCCAAGGGATTCCCGCGAGGTGGTCTGTTGATCTCGTGCTCGTCCTCAAACCCCGGCGGCGGAAAATCGCCAGCCGGCAGCGGCCGATGAGGCGGGTGCGCGCCCGCGAGGGGATCGTACAGTGGGTAGGGATGTCCTGGCTGTGGCGGCCTGTCGCCAGCAAAGGGCCTCCCCGGCTCTCTTCCGGCCTGAGAACGACCCTCTTGTTCGGCGTTCTGTCTCGCGTCGCGGTCGTCGGGCGTTTCTTCGTAGCCCTCGGCCTGCAGCTTTGGCACGAGCTTCTGGACGATGCTGCTCTTGAAGCGCTCAATGAGCTCCTCGATCAGAGCCTCGGACTTGAAGGCGCTCTTGATCTTATCCGGAAGGTCTGACCTGTCTTCGGATCCATCTTCTCGCAATGTGATGCGGATGGGGAGCTTGGAGGACTCGATGTAGTCACGCGGTGTCAGCTCGAAACGGTGAATGATGTCGTGGCCGACGGCCAGTCCGCGAATCTCGGCCTTGGCACCCATGCGCGTGATGTTGATCAGATCAGTCATGGAGGTTTGCTTGTGGGCATAAACGAAGCTGAGAGAGCCAAAGCCGGCGTTCCATGATGATGGCAAGCGGGGTGCGTGTAATTGAATTTCCTCCTCTATCCTCTTCTCTTCGTCAAAGCCGAGCAGCCGAAACTTGAGGGCTGACATTGAGGCATGTGTGAGGAGGGCAAGGAGCTCATACGAGCTGCTGACGTCTGAGGTGGTGTCTCCGGATGGATGAGTTGGGATGGCATCAGCCATCAGCTGTAAAACAGCCTGGGTGGCGAGAGGATTTGCCATGGTTGGTTTTATTGGAAGTGATGTGATGTACAAGTGCTGTCTGATTTGCATGCGATGTATGTGGGAGGAAGAAAAGGAACAGGTGATGGGCGTCGGAAGATGATCGTCTGTGCCGGCTTTAAGTCCTAGGAGGAAGGATGGGAGGGAGCCCGGCCGCCTGGAGCAAGCAACACAAGGCAGGAAGGAGCTCCATGTCGGGCCTCTGCTGGCGTCACCACCTGTCAGCCTTAAATGTGGAGTATCGCCTACCCCTCATGTCCTTATACGGGTGTTTATCCCTCTATGTGCATACTACGCTCTCTGCTCACATCAGCTTCGAACAAGGCCCTGGGTCCTTCCAACGGAATGCCAACGGAATGGCACTGAGATTGATTGAAGGGAGAGAGTGACGAGGGTAGTTTGTACTGGTATGTATGATCACAAGTTGGTGAAAGACAAGGACCCGCAGCGGCCCTGTAAAAACCTATGCAATTTAAGCATCAATAGCATCACGTGAACTGGCGTCTAGGTGGTGTAGCACAGTCACGTCCCGCCCCAAACCATCAACGCGTACGCCTCTCCTCTCACTGCACCCGCTCCCATCGCATACCAGCATCATCAAGCCGCGACCACATTCCGCATCCCAAAGCCATGCTCACAGACAACGGCAACATGCAGGCAGATCCTTCGGATGAGGACCTGCCTCAGCCCCAGCCCGGTCTAGACATCCCCCGCCCGCAGGCCCGCTCCCTTCTGCAGACCTTCTGCAGCTTCCTAACCATGACGCTGCACACGCTCATCTTCCACCGGGCCCTCTACCCGCGGCCGACGTTCCTCATGGCGCGGCACAACAACCTCGTCGTGCCCCAATCCCGCCACCCGGCCGTGTGCGCCTGGATCAACGACGCCGTAGGCCAGGTGGCGCCGCTGCTGGCCGTGGGCCGCCTGGCCAAGGTGACCATCAACTTCCACCTGCCGCGCAGCCTCCAGGTCGTCGACCGGTGGGTCATTGACGTGAGCCACTTCCCGGCCTGGATCGACGAGGACGATGTTGCCGTTCTCGCGGGCGGCGGCCAGCAGCAGCAGCAGCAGCAGCACGTCAGCAGTCGGGGCAGGGATCGTCTCATCGTCGCATGGGAGCAGCAGGAGAAGAGGCGCACACGCGCCCGCCGGGAGGACGAGGCTGAAAGGGAGCTCGCCGAGCTCGAGAGGGCCGTCAACTGGGTCGACGTCGACGAGGCCGTACGCGGCGCCCTCAGCAGGATCGGGAGCGCAGCCGCGACAAAGGGCCCTCTGCCCGAGGACAGCACCTTCACCGTGGCCGTCGAGCTGCGCGAGGATGCCCCTGTGCCCATTGGCGTGAGTGGCCCCTCTCTGTGTCTCGTTCCAGGGAGCTCTTTCTTCGGCATCCGCTCCCGCATGCTAACAGGTTGAAGCATCCCCAACACTGGATCCCCTCAGACCCGTCACTGCAGTATGGCGCCGACCCGCTGTCCGGCACGCCCCGAGGTGAAGCTTCGACAGAGGGTCCACGCGGCACATCGACGATACCTCTGCGCACAGTTGACGCGGGCCCTCTTTTTTGGGAGTGCTGGGTCGAGGAGTGCCCGTCAGTACAGCCTACAGAAACAGTGGCAGCAGCACCACCACCACCATCACAAGAAGACAGCGCCCGTCAATCAAATTCGACATGACTTTGCTACTTCTGCTCATTCATCCCTTCCCATTGGTATCGTTGGCCTTAATCCCTTCGTGCAAGTGCGAAATACAAATGAGTCGTTACACGGGCCACCCTTTTAACCTGCCCCGCCCCCCCTTTTCCAAACCGTTGATGATGCAGAGGCAGTGATTGTCACACCCGGAACGCCCGCTCGCCTGACCGCACCTCCCTTCCAAACCGTGACCCTGCAGATGCCCAGCTGTTCGGCCCAATCCCGAACACCGCTCACCTCGCCCAGTAGGATGAAGGCAAATTTCGACAAGCCATCCTAGGCGCCATCGGCCGCCGCTTCCCCCTTCAACGCCGTCCGCAGGCTGATGACCTCGCGCCGCAGACGCGCATTCTCGCGCTTCGTCTTGGCCGCCTCCTCGCTCTGCTCCCGCAGCTTGCTGACCAGCTCCTCCTTGTCCTCGCGGCCCTTGCCGCGCAGCGCCTTGACAATCTTGCCGAGCTCGCTGTTGAACTTTTCATACAGCAGCTCGTTCTCCGCGGTGGCCTCACGGTACAGCTGGTCGATGGCCTTGACCTTGGCCTCGGACGCCTTGAGCGTGCTCTCCATGTCACGCTGTATGGCCGAGTGCCTTTCGTTCAGCTCGCCCAGCATGGTCGGCATGCGTTCCTCGAGTGCCGTCACCGACTGCGTCAGGAGCCGCAGGTCGATGGTCCCCGTTCGGTCGCCCAGCCCATTGTTCACCCGCGACATTTCCTCGGCGATCTTGCTCAGCTCCGACTTCAAGGATGCGTCCACCTCGTCGACAGCCTGCTTCTCTGTCTGTAGCCGCTCGCGCAGCTTTTGTGGCGATTGCAAGCGAAGCCTGCCCGAGCTTCCCGTTTTGGTCGGGCTGAGGCTCGGCCGCGTCGGCGACTCACCTCCGCTGCCCAGACCGCTGCGGGCCGGCTTGAGCGTTGGGATTTGGGATGTAGAAAAGTTCTTTGAGTGGTGGCCCCTCGTCGGTCGCTTTTCAGTGCCCGCTGTCGATGGCGACGGCTGGAATATGTCCGCCAGGCTGATGTTCTCCTTCTGCGGACGAGGCACGCGCAGGCTCTGCGTGTTTGGACTGACGGGGATTCTCGACGGCGTGGGCGACTTGGCCCTCGGCGTCGAGTTGAACTTCTCGGATATTTGCTTGTTGATGCTGAGAGGCAGGATGCTTGTGTCTTCTGCCGGGTCGCCGAGACTCGCGGCAGCCATCAGGCTCCTGAGATCAGACAGAGAGCTGCGCCGCTTCTTCTTGGGCGTCTTGTGGGCTGCGGCCTCGTGGTCTGGCTCACCGATTGTCTCGAGCCGAGTCTCGAGCTTGTGCGAGCTTCCTGGTCGCTGTAGGTCGTCGAATGCGCCAGCCAGTGGCGGCCTGTCTCGCGAGTTGGGCCTCTTCAGTTTGTTGGGACCCGGGTAGCCCATGTCAATGGACCTCGTTCGGCTTGCGGTAGCCCTCGACAGACTTGCAGTCTGGCTAACATCTCCCGTGGCCGGATTGCGGGTGTGCTTACTGAGCGTCCTCCAGACAGACGGACGATCCTCATTTTTGCTGTTCTGGCGCAATAACGAGTCCAGTCCAAACTTGCGGCGGATAGAGGATGTGTTGGAGGTCAAGGAGCCTGTGTGAGACTTGGTGCTGCGAGTCATAGAGTTCATCGACTCATACGCCGAGCTACCGGGATGAAGGTTGGCCCCGAAGCTGGTGTCCTCAAAGATGCGATCGCAATCTTCGACGAGGCGGTCAAGAAGGTTGATGTAGTTGTGCGCTGTGCCGTCTACAACCAGCAATTCGGCAAACGCGACGGTGATTGCGCCTCGATCGCTGTCATTGCTGCACCCCTCCAGCAAGTCAGCGAGCAGCTTTATCAAGGCCGTGAACGCTCGTCGGTTCTGTGGCGCCATGTCTCCAAACATGTAGTTGACAAAGTCGGCGAAGTTTCCTGGGACCTGCTTGTTCATGCGTTCCTGTAGCGTATCAAGGGCCTGGATCGTCATGATGGGGCCCATCTGCTCTCGCCAGGCGATGTTGAGGAACTTTTCGAAAGCGACGAAGATGGAGTCAGCAGAAAGTTCGGCGGACGCGTCAAGGTCAAAGGGGCTCTCGATGAGCCTATTATACAGGTCGTTGACGGCTAGCTCATCCACAGCCCCTCTGTTGAGAAGCATTCGGCCAACGATGCTGCCCTTGCGTGCCTGCAAGCTAGCAACGTATCCAGTAAATGTTTGCTCGAGGCGCACCAAGGGATTTTCAGGTTTGCTTTCATCCATGGCGATCCGTCCCCCGTCTCTGCTTCTTGCTGAGCCAAATATCGAGTTGGTCTCGCTGTTGGCGCGTGATATCGGCGGGGGAAAGACGTTGGTGACGGGCACTCTGGCGTGTTTCGGCGAGGCAGCGCCCTGATCTGCGCCCGCGTTGGAGCTGCCTCCCCAGATTGTCGACAACAGGCCCTTGACTGGAGATGACGCGAGGAAAGATCGCGTCTTCTCTGCCCGGGTTGTCAGCTGAAGACCTTTGAGGGCTTTCGTATAGTACGACACCAATGCCGGAGTAAGACGCATATTGGACGTGCTGTGTTGTACACTGAGCAGTTGGATGACTAGGTTTTCTCGATTAGCATAGTGATATTGGTGAAAGGGCCTCGAGAGACTTACTTCGACGCGATAATGTGGGAAGAAAATCCTCCAGAGCAACGTCATCCGCAAATTGCTTTCCGTTCAACCCTGCCGTTTGCATGTTAACGCGCCTCATGTCGCCGCTGTGCACATTGACAGTGACCTCAACGCCATAGTGTCCGATAGGCGCGCCCTTGGTGCCTTTCTCGTGATCCACGACGATACGGATAGGTGCTGGTTCCCGCCTTCCCTCAATCAGCTGGTCAGCCCCTTCTTGGAATACGGCGGCATAGATGCCCAGGTTGTTGTCTGGCAACCGTGAGCACCGAAGGGTCCAGGTAGGGTCCTCGCGCTCGCCCTCGGAGAACCGGCCTTCAACACGAGCCTTGACAATGTCCTCGGTCCATTTAAAGGCCTTGGCCTCGTGAGTCTCTTGAAGCTGGAAACACCGCGAGGTCACCGCCGTGCCTGTGACCCACTCTCCAGCATGAGCACCCTTCATCTCTTGTGTGGATGTCATCCAAACGAGCGCGCCGTCGGCGGATTCGGTGAATCGAACGTCTGACAGGTTATGCCAGCCGGTGAATGCAAGCTCGTACGACCCAGGGCCACCAGCAGCATTGGTCATGGATACAAGGAGACCAGCAGCGGAAGGTTTGTCAATCTCGCGCAGCAGATCCCGACCCGTGACGATATTGGGACCGAGCTTCTTCAGAATGACGACGCAATCCGCAAACAACAAGAACATGCCAGATCTGTCTGCTGCTTCGTACTGATCCACCGAGTTGAAAGGGGCAGGCACCTCGACAAAGTCGGCCGCGAGAATCAGGCGTCCCTGAGGCTGCAGGTCCAACGGCCAGCTCTCCACCATATTTCGTAGTCGATTGGTGACGTGGGGTTTGTCTGGCAGAGGCTCGTCCATGGAGCAGATATTTGTGATAATGTCTCTAGCCTTCAGCATGGGCTGTAGGGCGGGATGCGTCATGGGTAAGCAACTGACGATCTGGTCAATCAGCAGGCTGTACCGTGGTAGTCGCTGAACTGGCTCGATAAGAATGGAGCGCACGGCTTGCTCGCCCGTCTGTGTCACTCTCTGTCGGAAGCTCGACTGCTGGTCGAGAAACGAGTTGAGAAGAGTTGGGAAGTGTTGACTGGCACGGATGTAATCCTGGTAGCAGTCGGTAAACTTGGGAAACCATTCGAGGAATATCCTCGCTACCGCCAGAGCGCCACTGGGGTCTTTGGTCTTGGCCGATGCGCCGAGTTTAGAGCCCGTAAGTGCTGCTGTCGTTGTTTCCATGTCACGTACGGCCTCATCCTCGGTGTCGTTCATGACATTGCGGAGTTCCTGCATGAAGGCAGAGTTAATCTGCAGTATGCGGTCGGCGGAGCGGGGGAAGAGCTTCTCGAGCTCCTCTTCGGAAGGGCTCAGACTGCCTCGCGCCCGGGATTTGGCTGACTGTCGAAAGTCATCGGCAATGTGCTTGACGAGCTCGTTGAGCTTCATTACGTATCGTTCTTCTGTGTCTATGAGCTCGCCCAGCTTCATCCTCAAGTCCACTTTCTGATCCCTCGTGAAGGATTTGCTCCGGTTCAGCGCCGTAGGTTTCGAGGGTGCCCTTCGCAGTCGGGCTGTCGGCAGAAATACAGGCTCGCCAAAGAGCTTGACCAAGGGTGTGTAGCCTCCATATTGTCGCAGAGTGGGGTCGAGGATGTCGTCGTCGTCGTCGGGCACGTCTTCGAGATCTTCTGGGCGGAGGGGCACGATAGCACCAGGCGGCAGCACAAAGTCAATGTCAACATTGCTCAGGTGCTGGGTCTGTAGAGCTGTCTGCAGAGTAGCAATTACTTCGGCCGTATTCTCGCTCTGGATCATATTGGCAGCGAGGTCAGCAGCATGCTGTTCACCGAACAGCGCAGGGCCGCTGCCAGGCCGTCTCCCCCTCGTGGTGGGGTAGGTGTGCTTCAGGTGATTCTTGACGACTTCTGGAAGCTCGGTGAAGTATTTGAAGAGGCCGAAGGCGAGGCCGCGGTATATCTCGTCGCCCTGCCATTCGCGGGGCAGGTAGTTGACAACGCTGTAAAAGGGAGAACCGGGGCTATGGTCAGGCGAGGGAAGCATTGCAGGCCAGCGGGACTGTAGACGTGGATCTGGACCGCGAGAGCTGTTGAGAGTATAAGTTGGCCGTGGTCGAGGGGCCGTGAAATATCAGGACGGGGAAGGTGGCCGAAGAAAGAGGGTCGGTGGCGTGGTATAGGGTGACATGCTCCGCAGACAGGGCGGGCTCGTCGGTGACGCGAACCATGGCGGCGGCTGATGTTGATCGTGGTCTCGTTAACGGGCCTCCAGGAGCATTGCCGACTTATCGCCCAGGCGTTGAGGGGTATAGGATGGTATCCGATTGAGGAGCGATCCGGGAGAGGGGCGAAGCGACGTTGTTGCTTGTGTTCTTCCAGGTAAACATGGAAGCACCGTGTGATGGTGGTGACGATGCGCTAGCGCGTCGACGGGCTGCTGCAGCCGCTTGTGCGCAGGTCGCTGATTTGGCGTGCGGCTGCAAGGTGATGCGGCTGGCCTGTCTTGCGACCTGGGTGATGAAAATAGCGAACGTGGTCGTCGACGATGAAGGGGGGGGTCGATCTCAAAAGTCGAGGCCCGTCTGGGAGTGGTGGAAGGAGGAATGATCGGGTTTCGGATCGGGCCCCCGTCAAGCTTAAGCGAGGCAAGCTCAGATTCGCCTTGCGATGGATTGGAAACTCGATTCCCGGGGGCAGACAGGACAATGCAATGCAATGCGGAAACTTCACCACAGTTGTTCTCGCTTGCCTCCCTATGGCCATGTTTGACTGGGATGTTATGGCTCACCGCCCCAGTGACAACAGCTTTCCCAGCGTCCTACTGGTTGTGTTGCTGACGGGACTCGACGCGTTGCCAGGGGACCTTGGGCGCTAGAGAACCAGGCCAATGCCGACACCGCCCGCTGTCAACACACAAAGGCACCCACCCACCTGCCGTCATTCTCAGATAAGGTGCCCCTTTAGATACATGTTCCTTGGTGCCTGGTGCAAGACGAGTGTCCTTGACAGGGGGAATAGCGGCAGCAGACGCTAAAACAAAGCCCCACGCTGCTGGCAATGTTTGGCACGGGTCAGCGTGGAGGACCCCTCCTTCCAAATCCAGCGCCAGTAGAATGGTCGATTAGTGTTTAAAGAGCGCTCACTGTCAATGATCAAGGCAAGCATCTTGGCCAGCTTTGCTCAGGTTTCGTTTCTGTACATGGCCAGTGAACGGGATGAATAACATCTAATAATGGCCAAACTTTAAAGTCATCGCGTCTCTGCTCTCCTGTGAGATTCCATCGTCAGTTTCCAAACACCAACATCCGTCAGATGTCGTGCTGTGCCCCACGTGCCTTACCTGGCACTCTAGCCCACCATCAAATGACCTCACTCGTGCTCCTCGGCTCCTCCACACCCAGTCGGGCTGGACACCACATCTCCCCATCTCCTAGCACATCACATCATGTCCACACAAGACAACAGCGGCATCCCCGTGTCCTCGGCCCCAGATGGTCGAGGCTACAGGCTCTTTGAGCTCCCGCCGGAAGTTGAGTCGGCTCTCACATCACAAGCTCCCCCAGTGTACGACCTTCCGAGCCCTGGCCCCATCCCTATCCATCACCCACGGCACATAACAGGCCCCGTGTCGGGATTCTCTTCTGACGTCTTGGTAGCCTATACATCAAGCATCCCGAGGAAGCCTCAACAGCTCAACTGTCCGTTCCCGGTGGCAAGACGTATGCGCTCCAGCAGAAAAACACGTCCAACGCGCTGCTCATCCTCTCACCGTCGACTGACGACTCTGTCCCCGGGCTCACTTCCGTCGCCACTGTTCACGACTTTATCGAACTGTTGCCCGAAGCACCTGGGCCTGAGGCTCGGGGAAACAAGGGCAAGTGGCACGAAAGATTTGGCAAGAATCGGTGACGAACTAGGCATTACGACGGCAGGCATTTCTTTCGTTCTGGATGGCGGATTAGGACACGCCCAATTTTGAGTCGTAATTACTTTCTTTCTTTCCATTCTCTGGACAACTCGTTGCATCATTACTAGTAGCATGTCACGGGTTCGCGCAGCAATGATTATCCTGGGCGTGCTAAAGAAGTGCTCCATGATGTGATATATGGGCATGTATTAAAACATTACCTGACACACCCCGCCAAGTACCTCAAGAAGTAGGATGCGGTTCTTTGTGGACTACATGTACGAACAAAATGACCTGTCTCTATGATATGAGACCCGGATCCATCACTTGTAATCATCGTCCGAGCCCTTGGACTCGAAGTCATCTTCTTCTTCTTCTTCTTCTTCTTCTTCTTCATCCTCACTTTCTGACACCATGACCCTTTGGCGGCGCCTTGTGGATCGCCGTGGCGCTGCTCGTCGTTTAGGCCGAGGTTGTGTGTTCTTAGGTGCAGGCAACGTGTCAGACTGAGCAGCCTTCTCAGGTTCGACATTGTCGGATTGATCGGATAGCTTTTGGACTGCATCGGCCTTACTTGAGGTTCCATCTCGGTCTTCACCGTGATCAACAATTAAATCATCCAGGCCTTCCTCTTCATCGTCATCAATAGGCGGGAAAAAGCTTGAGGTGACCTTTCTCGCTGGGGGTTGAGTCGTACTTTCCGCCGCGTCTTGGCCATCTGGCAGGAAACCGCCGGCCAAGTCATCGTCATGTTCAGTGGGGAGAAATCCGCCAGCCATATCCGGGTCGTCGTCGTACCCAGCCGGTCTATCGATCTCCTTGTCCAGGTCGTCGTCGCCAGCGCCCCCAACTTTTCGGCCGAAAATTTGAACGTCGTCCTCCACGTGTCCATAGTCTTGTCGAATTCGCTCCACGATTCGTAGCCCTTTGAGAAACTTGCTCCAAAGCCGCAATGCTTCTTTGCGCCGTTTCTCATCTTCCTTACGAGCCTTCTCCGCCTCGTCCTTTCGGAGCTCTTCCATCACCTGATCGTGGTGCTCCTCAGCCACGACAACACCTTGTATGACAGGTACAGCCATGCGGTGGCCGAACTCAAAGTCCACGACAGCCTCAGCAAAGTCGATTTGCAATCTCTTACACACCTTGACCACCCCTCGAAAGGGAATATGGACGGCTCCTTCCGGACACATGTGCTCTGCGAACAGGTCGATGTTGCCATAGTCATTCTTCGGGATGATCCCATCCTTGATCGGTGGAGGTATGATCCAGTCGGTTTGGTCGAAACTGTAAAGCCCCTGCAACACCTTTTGGCCACTGATAGCCTCGGCTTCAGCCAGCTCCCGTCTCCTATTTGTTGTCGCGGCACGGTACGGCACCTTCTTTAGTGGTAGTTCACCTGCTCGTGGCGCCCGTCCCTGCTTGTGCCACGTCTCTGCACTCTTGACATTGACAACATCCTTTCTGGCATAGACTGGCTCTTCGGCGCCGTCTTCAGCTTTATCCTTCGTCTTATCCTTGGCCTTACCCTTGTTTCGGAACATTTTGACCGCTTCCGCAGTAGGGAGAAGCGCCTCCTCGCGCTTCAAGTGCCGCTCGAGACAGAATTCCGTGGACTGTTTATAATACTGTAGCGTTTCCTCGCCTTCTTTCACCTCCTTCTTCTCAGGCTTGGCCGGCTTCAGGTCGGTTGAGTCTTCCTTTTCGTCCACTTCCGTGATGGGATACTTCCGGCTTCCCCGAACAAAGCCTTGGAGTGCGGACTTGAACCAGTCAAACTGGTTGTATCTCTTTATTTTCCCCCTCTTATCGTGAACAGGTATCTTTTCTAATGGCATCCTCATTCCTTTGGTTCTGCCAGGTAAAGTCTGTCGCTTGAGGTACCTGACCGTGACATCCTTGGCTGTGCCGTCTTGGGAATAGCCAACGACATAGGCCATGACTTGTCGCGCTTTGTCGGCTTTGCTGCCCCTTGGCTCCAGCGATTCTATAAGCTCGCGGTTCGTTGCAATGACTTTCTTCACAATTGCGTCGACCGGCAGGTACATCTTGCTGACTGGCGATAACACCTCAGTCCAGTAATGAGGATATTCGAGGTCCTGGTCGAATTTCTTGGTGCTGGCGGGCTTGCTCGGCGCCACGTCGAGCTCGACAACAGAGTCTTCATCGCTGTCTGGAACGACTGATATCAGTGTGTCAGGCTCATCGGAATCCCGGGCCTCGTCTTTAACGCTCTTCCGTCGGATCGACCTCCCGTTAGTTGTTTTTGCTGGCGGTTTGCTTTTCGTCTGCTGTGTCGATTTCTTGACGCCGAGGTTCTTCTTCAAAGGCGAGTCGCCCTCTGTAGCCAACTTGCTCCGCTGCACGGCTGCCAATGTACTCGTGTCCTTCTCTGCATCGGCATCTTCTGCCTTTTTCCAGCCAAAGCCCAAGGGTTGTAGATTAGCAACCATCCGAGCCTCAAGGCCTAGAGCGCGCAGAATGCTGTAAAGAGCTGCGCGCCAACATCGCGACTTCCAGAGCATGCCGCGGCACAAGCTCGAAAGCCATCGAGATCATGAATTCTTTCTCCGTGAAGCTTCACATCTTCGCTGGAATTTGCCCACTCTTTGGTCAGCCTGTCGAGACGCTCAAGAGACATATAGCCCAACTTGCGAATACCGGGCGCGGTGATCTGGAAACGCTGCTTCCACCAGGAGCTTAAACTCTTCATCAGTCGAAACAGGGGATCGCCGTGGCTCATGTCAACGGCACCTTCTTCCAAACGGTCGGCGGCTGGCCCCCAGTCTCGGGAATCTTCTTCGTCGGCCTTATGGACCTTTGTGCGCCGCTTTGGCTTGGCTTTAGGTTTCGTTTCCGATGCTTTCATGGGCTTCCCGTCCAGTCCACTAGCGGTCCTCCAACGTTCGACCTCGTCGAAGAGCCGGGGCGGGATGTGCGACATCAAGGTAGCCTGCACCTCATGATCACAGAGCCAAGCATTTCGAATGGCATTGTGCCAGAGAAGATGCTGCACGTGCACACAATGGGTTGCTGTGCGAACCTTCCTTTCGATCTTCGAAGGGCCCTTCTTGTCGCCAAACGGGTTGGTCAGGGAGATCCGGGTGTCGCGGTGCAGGGTCAGTTCCAGGTCACCGGTGCCGACCGAAGTGTCGAGCATTGATGTTCTCGGCGCCGGAACGTCCTCAAACTCAATGTCTTCGTTATCATCATCCTCGTCGTCATCGCCAGAGCCCACGGTCACATGTCGTTTCGCAATTGGAACTTCCTCAAAGTCTCCGTCCGAAAGGTCGCTCAAGGAGCTACAATCCTCACTGTCGTCGAGGGTCTCCAGAAATGTCTTGCTGGATTTGGCAACTGAGGCAGCCGAGGCATCGAGGTCATCGTATAGAGTTGCCTTGCGCTTACGACCGGTCGACGACGGAGGCGGTGCGGCTGCAGTCTTGGCCACTTGCCTTCGTTTTGACTCGCTTGGATGGGGCGACTCATCGCGCAGCCTTTTGCGCGGTACGCTAGGAGGCATTGTGAAAAAGCCGCCTAAGAGGGTTGTCGCGATTTACGACATGGCAGGACGAAGAAGGGCTTCTATGGCGCCAGGTTTGCGCCAAGGCACCGACAAACCGAAAGTCTGGCGTCATTGATTTCACGGGAGGAACGCGAAGGCACGTGATCAGCAACCAACCATTCCAAGCCTAATAGGTAGATGCGTTTATAACAGACTTGACCCGTTTCGCGGATGTGTCATAGATGCGGGCTTGGGTCAAGCAAAAAGACCGAATCATATGCGAAAAGCAAAAGTTGATGCGCCGTACGTGAATCGAACACGTCTCTCATGCTAACTCGTTGTTGACGATGGAAGGCAGGAATCATAACCACTAGACCAACGGCGCTTGATGACAAACCAAGTGTTGGAAGAGATTATTGTTCGACAATGCTAGCATGCTGGTATCACCCCACTACTAACTTGGAGGGGGAGGCTACATCAGCACTTGGCAGTATCTTGGGAGTTCCAGGTCATTCTACACCACCTCGTCAGCGCTTCTACTAGCCAACTCTTTAATAAATTGACCAAGAGACTTCGGTAGCTTGCCTCCACGTACTCTGGTTTGCCTAACGACGGCCTTTTATAAGTCGACCTTAGCCATGGCGCCCACCCACCCTGAGGCCAATGATACAAGCTACGTCAACATGGGCGAGTCCAAGGACGGCTTTGACGAGACCCTTCTGGGCAAACACTGCGAGTACGACTACTGCAATCAACTCGATTTTCTTCCCTTCTTCTGCCAATCCTGCAAGAAGACGTTCTGCCTCGACCACCGCTCCGAAACCTCTCACAAGTGCGTCAATGCCGGCGCATGGGCCGAGCGTCGACGCCAGGCGCAGGCCGCGACACACTCACATGGCCAGGGACGCCTTATGCGCGACGCCGTTTCCGAGAAGCCTTGTGCGTCACCCTCGTGCAAGACCACGGTTGGCACATCGCTCGTCCCTGGCGTCCACTGCTCCACCTGCAACCGCGACTACTGCCTAAAACACCGACTGAATGAAGACCACAACTGCAAGAACCTTATGCCCATTGGCGCGAGGGCGGGTGGCAGCCAGATGGACGTCGTTGCGTCCAGGACGAAGAGCGCGCTCGACAAGCTGCGGGCTTGGGGTTCCGCGAAGAAGGAGCAGGCCGGAAGGGCGCTACCCAAGCCAAAACCCACCTCGGTATCGCAACGCATGATCGCCGTCAACAACCTGAAGAAGACAGCTAAGGGTGACGACAAGCTGGCTCCGGAAAAGAGGATATACGTATACGTCGAAGCGGAGGCCGAGACGGCGAAAGCTAAATTCCCCAAGGGCGCCTTCTTCTTCTCCAAAGACTGGGTCGTGGGAAGGGTCCTGGACGATGCAGCGCGACGATTACAAGTCGAGAATATCAACAACCGTTCCTCGGACGAGAGGGACAAGCTGCGTGTCTTCCACGTAGAAGGAGGTCGGTTACTTGAGTTTAACGAGAAGGTTGGGTCGGCTCTGGTCAGTGGCAACACTGTTGTTTTGTTGCGCGGCGTTGGGCCACCTCCTGACTTGATCGAGGTCTGAGAAACGGATCGAGGTGTTCAGCGTTGCATTGCATGGGCTTGCATGGGCTGGTCGGTTCAGCATACTTAGAGATACCCTTGAATGTTATAGCATGACAGGCCATGTGTTATACAGTAGAACGCGACGGCGCTCCGGATTACGGGATGGCCATTATTTACATAGTATGTGCGGAGCTGTGTGTGTAGGCTGTGCCTCTGCCTTCAAGCTGGTTCCCTCGTTTGGTGCGTTATAGTTCCTTCTCCTTGGTTGGCTTCTTTACCAGCAAATCCTCGCGCCCAGTTGTTGGCGCATCACCAACGTACTGCTTCCCACCATACGCCTCAAAGCCCTTGTGGAACAGCCACTCTACAGCATTCTCCACTGGCTCGTCGAACAGCGTGGGTAGTGCTGGGACGACCGCAAGGCCGAGGCCGATGGGACCCCACGTTCTGATTCTCGTGTTCTTCATGTTCTTCATCGCTCGTCCAGAGTAACGGACAACGCTGTGTATGGTGAACGCAGGTAAGCCCATACTTGCGAGGCTCTGAAAAATGGCTCTCTGCACCATAACGGTGCGGTAGTCCTCCAAAGGAGCGACCGTGCCGGCCTGCAGAGGAGTCTGCTCAGTTGCATCTACGGATTTGAGGCCCGAGATGTGCTCTTGTCGCTCCGTAAGCTGCAGTGCAGGGTTGAGTGTGCGCTGGTTGTGCAAATATGATTTGTAGCCCTCGTAGCTCACATCACCCAAAATGTAGAGCCACGAGATACCGTAGGCAGCGCGCACAAAATTGGGATGCGCCACGGGCCGGAATGACTCGCCAATATCGGATGTGTAGGCTACATAGCGGTGCGCGGAGCTCAGGATCGTGCGCACTCGGGTGGCGTAGGCTGCGTAACGAACGTTGGACTCGGTCGATTCGGGAGCGCTGCAAGACATGTCAGATCATGACTTTTACGCTTGAGCACTCATCGAAACATACTAGCCGTCGACGAGCTCGTCAAAGAAGTTCTCGTCTTTGTCTGAATCATTTGCGATTTTTTGCAGTGAGGCCGGCAGCTTCCTGTGCTCGGGGAGCTTGTCGGGATCGAATGCTCCCGTGGCTTTCGCAGTTGTAGGTGGAGGGCTGTCTGCGGCTTTGTCCGCAGACGCTGCGGGCTTGTCTTGAGGCTTTCCCCACCACATTTAGAATGACTTCGGTGTAAGAATGGCGCCGTGGGAGTCTGGTCGTTGATCAACGAAAAATGTTGAGATGAAAAAGAACTAGGAAAGAAGAAGGGAGCAAGTGCTAATTGTCGCGATTCGCCTTCCGGTTGCCTGCGCAAGTTGCTCTCGGATGACGTCCCGGTTGCGGCTGGATAAGGAGCGTCGTGACCGATAGGAAGCCAGCCGGTAATCCCGCCCCACCACCTCAAGTCCCAATCGTTCGATCTGAGTGCCTGAATATCCAGGCCGCAATGGGCATTCTCGGGAACGATTTCTGGAGCTTCAACATCGCGAAGACTAAACGAAGCTCAGTTTAACCCATCACCCCTCACCGTCGACCCTGTCAATCCTTCGAGCCTCGAAACCCCCTTTCCACCGCCAAAATGGTTCAGATGTACTCTATCGCCGGTCGCCAGATTGGCTCCCACTACGTACGCTCCCGTCGACCCGCTCTCTCCCTCGGCCATTGTTGGTAAAGTGCTAACATGCCGTTTCCCACCCGCAGCTGGCCATTGGCGTCCTCGCCACCCTCTTCACCGGCTCTTACGTCTCCCTCAGTGGCGGTAGCAAGGCCCCCGCTGCCACTCCCCCCATCAACGCCTCCAGCTCGGACGAAGCCGACTTCATCAAGTGCGTCATTTGCTCCCTCTTGAAGGCCGCGATGCCGTGCGACTCGCGCCGTGATCGATTGGTTGCCCGACTTCAATGCTAATACATGGTATAGGAAGTTCCTCGACAGCCAGGACAAGGATGCGAAGAAGCACTAATGTGATTGACGGATGGTGCTGGAGCGAGCGGTCGGTGCGACCCGTGTACATTTAGAGGCGATGAAGTCAAGCGAATCAACCATGACTGTTGCCCACGCGCGGCTCGAACAATTACTACCTCGACTTATTTTTCTGGCACTGGTCGAGCTGATGAACGGCTGCGTCGTTTTTGAAAGGGCTACGAGAGCGCAACCTCTGGATGACAGGCGGCCAATTTCTGTGAAGATCTCTGTCTTGACTGGCCCGATGACTTTTTCGTGAGACTTACTTTGATGCACAGCGACATACGGAGACCTCCCAGCTCGATGTTGTCTTTGGGCTCTTCCTCTTCTTGATGATTCAGCGTATTGATTGGTCGCCATATTCCACGGAACCATGCGCCCTGGCCGTTCCCTTCCTGTTTTCGCCCCCGGAAGAAAGGTTCATGTAACGACAGCAGGTCTTCTTGGGATCCATCTCAGAAATGTGGCTCACACATGATGACAGCACCATAAACCCTTCTAATTCATGTGACAGTAATTCACGTTACCTCAAAGCTGGGTCTGTAGAGCTATTTACCAAACGCCCACATAAACATCAGAAGGCTTCGGTGGACAAATCGTGGTAGCAATATTTATCGCCAAAGAGTTTGGGCTATTCCGACGAAACTGTTCGCAATTATAAGGCTATAGAGAATGTAACGAAGCTGCGGACTCGACCAGCCAGACTTTATGGCCATTGCAATGTTCTTGCTGTCAGGCCCATCGTCCCACCGCAGAATCTCAAGCAAGATAGCCGCGTAAGGTCATGCTTACACCCAGTTCATAGGCAAACAGGGGATGGTTGAGTGACATTGTCTCTCAGCTTCTTTATCCCAACGTCGTACAAAGCTTATGGATTGCACAGGTAGTAGCTGACACAGCATATCGGCATTTGAAGTATACAGTCTTTATAGCCACTCCGGCGGAATTCCTAGTCCCCATGGTTTACCGCGAGCAAATTGGGGCTATTGGCTATAAAATATGAGCAACTAAGTAGGTCTTGATAATTCTGACAAGATGTCAGAGGAACTTGTGGAGCCCATGGCGGCCCTTCTCAACCAAGGGTGTAATCAACTGGACAGCCCTACCAGGATCGCCAGTAAAAGGTTCCCAGGGACCGTAATGCGAGAGATTCAAGTGATTACTGTCATAATAAGCTAGTCGGTGGGCGACTAGGTAAAAAGATCTCATGCTTTGCGATGGCAGGCGCAGGTAGACTTTATTCCTCCGTTGTAGACACACACGGACAGCCCGCGGAAGGGTACCTTATACAAGGTGGGGTCACTGTAGCCCGGGTCCACACTCCAGTCTTTGGTACGCGTCTCCGCCTGAGCCCATTGAACGAGACGCGACACGCGCATCCCGTCCCCCCTCCAAGTCGAGTCAAACGTCTTCCCTCAGCGCCCACCATCATTGCTTGCAATAGCAAATTTGAGCGATTGAGGAACCCGACATTTCAGCACATGAACAATGGGGTCTATTGAAGGCTCAGCTAAACAGAATACTGCCACGGCGCGCCACGAGGAGCACCAGTACCTTGACCTCGTCCGGAATATCCTCGACAACGGCGAGCACCGCCCAGACAGGTCAGACTTGAATATTCGCAGACGGCAACTGTAAACTGACTGAACATAGGACCGGCACCGGCACCTACTCCATATTCGCGCCGACACCGCTCAAGTTCAGCCTCAACCAGAATGGCGAGCCCCTCCTTCCCCTGCTGACGACGAAGCGCGTCTTTCTTCGCGCCGTCGTCGCCGAGCTTCTATGGTTCGTACAGGGCAGCACGTCATCCATACCGCTAAGCGAGGCGGGCATCAAGATCTGGGACGGCAACGGCTCGCGCGAGTTCCTCGACAGCGTAGGACTCTCACACCGCGAGGAAGGCGACCTTGGTCCCGTCTACGGCTTCCAATGGCGGCACTTCGGTGCCGAGTACGTTGATGCGAAGACGGACTACACGGGACAAGGCGTCGACCAGCTGGCAGAGATTGTGCACAAGCTCAAGACCAATCCGTACGACCGGCGCATCATCCTCAGCGCATGGAACCCGGCGCACCTGAAGAAGATGGCGCTGCCGCCCTGCCACATGTTTGCTCAGTTTTACGTCTCCTACCCGCGGGCCAAAAGAGGCAATGCTGCGGTCGTGGACGCCGAGGAGAAGCCCAAGGGCCACCTGCACTGCCAGCTCTATCAACGGTCATGTGACATGGGTCTCGGCGTGCCGTTCAACATTGCGAGCTACGCGCTGCTGACTCACATGATTGCGCGTGCATGCGATCTGGTCCCTGGGAGCCTGACGCATGTCATGGGCGATGCGCACGTCTACCTCGACCACGTCGATGCGCTGGAGACACAGCTCGAGCGGGAGCCCAGAGCTTTCCCGCTGCTCGAGATGACGCGCGAGGCAGGCTGTGACATTGACGGCTGGAAGGCAGAGGACTTTGTGGTCAAGGGGTATGACCCTCACAAGACGATTGCCATGAAGATGTCGGTGTAGATGACAAGGAACGGGATACACGGATTGAGGGTTCGGTTAGAGTGTTTGATCATGAGAAGGCGTTCTTGGGTGGGGTAGTGACAAGCCAAGGCGGACACTTTGGTTCATGGCAATGCAATGATTATTTCTCCAGTACATAAGCACGTAGAGGATGGCCAGTCTGCATGCCGATCGAGTAATGGAGGCGACAACCCCCTTAACATGGCTCTTGCCACGATGCAACGAGGGTGGTGGGAAAATCAATTGTGCGATTGAAACATGCATGAGACGCGAAAGCTTATGCAGTCAAATCACAGAAACCAGGTCGGGTAGCGCAATATCCACACAGTCGAAGTACAGTGCATCTGTGCTGATCCCACTGCCTCCTGCCCACAGTACGCCCGCGCCTCGCTTGGGGCAGGTGCGTGCCTGCCCTCCGTTCTTCTCTTCCTCACTACACCATCTCCTTAACTGCAAATCCGCTCTCCACCACACATCGCACCTAACCTCTGACTCGGAACGGTTACAACGATCCCTCTTCAATTCAATCGCGCCTTTCGCCCATCTCCATCCCGTCGCGCATCCATCGCTGTGTGTTTGAACCAAGTCGCCTCTTCATGGCTGACCAGCCCATGGCGTCCGCCCCGGACGCCCACGACGTCAATGCAGGACCTATCGTCCACGACACCCACGATGGCCTTGAGCATGATCATGATCATGATCACGACCATGACCACGGCCACGAACACGGCCATGAACACGAACACGATCACGATCACGAAACCCACGAAGCCCACGACGTGCATGATGTTCACCAAGTCGCAGACACGTCCATCGCCTCCACCGCCGGCGGCACACCCGCCAAAGAGCGCCATTCCCTGACCCTCGACCAGCGACGCGCCCTCCGACGCTGGGCTAATGCGCAGACGAATCGACCCAGCCACAAGACGTGCATCGAGTGGTTCTATGCGCAGTATGGCCAGCACATTTCTCAGTCAACTGTCTCGCACTCTCTGTCGCCTAAATACTCACGCCTCGACGGCGACAACCCCCAGCTCTCCGGTTCGCGCCTGCGCTTTGGCAACTGGCCTGACGTTGAGAAGCTTGTCCTCCTCTGGTACCAACAGGTCCAGGCGTCTGGTCGCCAGCCTACCAACGAGGAGCTCGGCGAGAAGGCCAAGTCTATCTTCGCTCAGCTGCCGCGCTACAAGGACGAGCAGCCGCCCGAGTTCTCCCCCGGCTGGATTCACCGCTTCAAGAAGCGCTACGGACTCCTCGTGCGCCGCCAGCGCCGCCATGGCGACGGCTCCCTGAGCCCTGCCGAAGACATCAACTACCTGGCCGACTGCGTGCCCCGCTTCCTGGCCATTTCCGCCGACACGTCTCCAGCGGCCATCAAGGAGTCTGTCCTGCGCGTCGTGGGTGTCGAGGCGACGCTCCAAGTGTGCGCCCTCGTGCGCGACGAAATCCTCCGTCGGGCGCAGAACCCCAATGCCGGCCTGCCCTCCGGCACCGCCTCGCCCCAACTCGCCCTCCCACCCGCTCCCCACCCACACAACACGCACCCCACTGACCCGAACCTGGTGCCTGCCCCCACGGGCAACGGCGCCGACACGACCATGTACGGCACAGGCGACGAAGACCCAGAGGTCGTCCTCCAAAACGCGCTGCGCCAGCTGCAGCAAGAGGAGGCCGATGCCGAGGCCAGCGCCGCCGTCGCCCGCGAAGAGCGAGAGCAGCGCGAACGTGCCCAAGGCACGGCTGCCGCGGCCCTCGCGACGCCGGCGGATGCATGCACCGCGTGTCCGCTGGCCCCGGCGGCGGCGGCGGCAGCAACAGCACACCCGGAGGCGCCGCCCGATACACCCCCGTACCGGGAAGTGGCCCCCCACTGCATGGACCCCATGGCGAGGACCTCACGCTAACCCCCATAAAGTCGGATGAGCCAGTCTCCAGCCACGACCGCCCGGTGCGTTGCCCGTTCTGCGTTAATCAGCGCATGCTGCGAACCATCAAGGAGGCAGTGGAACACCTGTCGACACACGTCATTGTTTAGTTCAGATCCCTTGTCAAACCATGTTTTTTTTGGCCCTTCGTTTCAGGGAGGCGGGGGAAAGTTTAAAAAGTCTATGAAGGTGGGTGCCATTGAAGAACAAAGACTGTCTACCTATTGTATCAGGCCGGCGTATGAAGCAACCTCAGGGTTATACGGGGTGGTAATGGCTAGGCAGAGGGCAGGTGGGCGGGCGTACGGTATAATGGCGCATGGGAGGCAAGGCGGGATCAGGAAGGCATCGACGGGTCAGGATGAAAGCTCTCTTGCGTCGGTTGGAAGAAAGCAAGAGAGACGGCGTGCATGAAATGGGGCCTTTGTATGACGACTATGCGGATGCGCCTGCATGCCTATATCCAAGCAGTCTGCTAGTGCCTTGAACATTTGACTGCGGACATATTTGCGCCTGCTGTACCGTGTCACTTGAAGTGTGAGGCTCTTTCTCCGAGACACCACAGTTGCTGTGGAGGGGAAACAGGTCAATGATGAATAGCACATATCACAAAACACCCAGCAAGTAAACGAAAGATATAAGCATAGTCTTCATTTCACCTCGTGCATCTTGACCCAACTCCGTTCCTCGTGGTATAGCCTCAGCCTGTCCCAAGCTCTCCCCTTCATTGCCCGACAAAATATCCACCCAGAGCGGGTGTCCTTTTCCCACCGTGAGGTCTGCTTCTCTTGCCACCAAATCGTCCGAGCTGACCCTCCCCGCACACAGGCTCTGCCCTTGCTGGTGGAGAAGCTCCATGGCCGACGGCACAGTTCCAGGACAACCCAACCGTTGAACGCCTCTGCGAGTCGCTGCATGCCCTCAAGGGCACTGCCCCCCTCGTACCCTACATATCTTTGGAGAAGTCAATGTCACATCGATAGCTCATCTGCCTCAACCTATTCTTCAACAGGAGAATAACAAGGTATGAGGAATTTGCGACAGACTGGAAGAAACATGAATGGAGAACGCAGCCGCAAAGCAAAAAAACAGAAGGGTTTGAGAGTAAGTGGGTTCCACCGACACAACATAACAACATGTCTTGATGCCAGCTACTAAGAAGTGAAGAAAATTTGACCTGTGCAAACGAAAGCCAGGCCGTCCCAAAGCAGACCTGACAATGCAATGCGCGTAAAAAGGGGGAATCATGAAAACTAAGAAAAAGAAAGCAGCAGCAGGGCGACTGGGGGGTATGTTTTGGGCTCTCTTGATGAAATCATGACAAAATCGCGAGGCAATACACACACACAGATACAGCCCCTAGACCTGATCGACATAAAGCAGAAGCTTGTCGTTCCTTTGCAGGGCGACGTCGAGGTCATTGTTGCTCATAAGACTCGGCTTGTCTCCTGTGCGCTCGTCCTTATACGACAGTTGGACAGATTCGTTCATAGGAATCTTCAATCGATCGCAGATCTTTTCGTATAACTGCTGGAATTGGATGTCGGTGGGGACGCGGATGGCGATGAGGTCACCGTTGAAGCACAGCTTGACTTTCATTGCGGAAACGCTCTGGTTGATGCCGGGGGAAGGTGACGGCTGGGGTCCTTGGGAGAGTGAGGATGTCTGACGCGTCATACCGGGCTGGTTGCTGTTTGATCGTTGCGGTGCTGCAGACAGGCCTGAGTAGCCTCCGCCGCTCAGGTTGTTCCTGGAAGACTGCCGCGAGGCACCATCCGCGGGAGAGTCTGTTGATGACTGTTGAGAGGCGCCTGACAGCCTGTACTCTTCACCTGTCGAGTTGGGGTCGATTTCGTAATCACCCTCGCGGGGGGCGAAGAATTGCTTCACCAGCATGCATCGAGCAATGTAAGGTGGCTGTGCGAGTAGGTTCTTGACATAGGCATCAAGATTGTGCAGTCGGCCCTCCGTGATAGCGTCTGTCACGTAGTTGACGGGACCGGGCATGTAAGGCAGGGTGCGCTTCTGCGTGCCAGTGTTGCCAGCTTCGGCTGGAAATTCGGTCAAGAGGGCGATTTGGAAGTCGTAGAAGTCCTCATAATAACGCGACAACTCCCAATGACGTCCGTCCTCGAGAACCGCCTCAATGACAAACCAATACTTTTCTTCGGCGAAGCAGTACCTGGGAATGCGGGCCGAGATGGGCGCATACATCTGCGAGACGGGCTTTGCAGCATACGAGTTTTGAACGGCACCTTGTTGCGAGGCGCGGACCTGCTGCGGGCAAAAAGTCAGTGAACTGCTGCCAAATCAAAGGGCATTTGGCGAACTTACGTGGTTGGCGCTGTTCTGGCTGCTCATACGCCCTTGCTGCTGGAGGCTCATACGCTCCATACCTTGCTCCAAGCCCTGACCAACCGGCTGACCGGCTCCCTCAAATTTACCAAGGGTAATGCTGCTGTTCTTGTATTCGGCGGCCATCTTCTTCCACTCCTCCACCTTAGGCACACCAGCCTTCTTGATGGCTTCTGCTGGGTTGCTCACTGCCTGGTTGGTGGCCATGTCTCGAATCTCAATGAACGAGACCGGGATCAAGCCAGGCCCTCCAAGCCTCCCTATGGGCTTGGCGACAAACCACTCCGGGTTGGACTGGGCGATGACAATAATAGCCTCGCCCTGTTTCGCCTCCAGTTCATCTGCACGCTCAGCTTGGAAGTCGTACATGACAATACCGTACACCATTGCGCCCGACTTGCTCCCAGATCGAGAAGTGCGCTGAGTAATCGCGCCAGGCATGGGACCGCTAGGTGGAGAGATAGGTCCTCCTCCGTGGTTGTTGGCTTCAGCGTACCCCGAGTCATGCTCAGGTGCTCGGGAGGGCGGAGCTTGCGGCGGGTTGCTTCCGTCGGACTGAGCGCTGTCACGTTCGGTGCGGCCGAGGGCCTGGAAGAAAGCCACCGGGACAAGGCCACGAGCATCTGGAAGTGCGGGGTTGCAGGCCTCGTACCAGTCGGGGTCATTTTCCTTTCCAATAACGTGGAAGAAGTCTCCGCGCGAAAAGCTGAGTTCTTGTTCAGACTGCGCCTCGTAATCGTACAGCGCTCGAATGACCTGAAGTGTCTGCGTTAGCAAGGCGTGCAAGTCGCGCGGGATCTGCTGTATCGCACCTTTTTCGGTGGCACGATGGCGATGGCGGATTTCGGGGCGATGGAAACTTTTGAGTTATCCTTCTCGCCTTTGATCGATCTGCGTAAAGCCTGCAATAAAGCATGTTTGGTCAGTACGTTGGTCATCTTGCTGTGTACGGCAGCTAAGAGAAGTGGAAATGGTAGGAAAGGGTATAACCGCAGTTTCCTGTACAGTTGCATGGAAAAGAAGACGCGAAAGCAATTTGTGTGCATGCGACGAAGGGCTCCACGAACCTTCATCTTGTGCGACGAGCTGATGCTCAGTTTGTAAGGGCGTGAGAGCAGCCACTATCCTCCTCGCGTGCGCGAATGTGTCGTGCGACGCCTGAAAGAATCAATGCGCCGTGTCGTATTGGTATTATGACGCCGCAAGCGTTTTCCCCAAAGTAGCCTGCTTCAACTTTCTCTTCTCAGCAGAAAAAGAGGCGGCGACTAAAAGCGTAGAATTAGAAGTCGGAATGACTGAGGGTTTCGTGTGTTTCCGGCGCGAGGTCGGGATAATAGTGGCAATATGGGGTTATTGCACCACAGAGGAGAGACGAAGTCGAGGGGTGCCAGCCGGACGTTGAGTCAGTGAATGGTAGGACCCTGCTTGGTTGATCGGACGGCGGCTTGCGGCAGATTCGCGGCAAGGTAGGATTCCTGCTGCACCTTGAGCGAATGTAGGAGGGCGGGGACTTTGGCGTCAAGTCTCAGAAGATCGAGTGCGAACGCGATGCTGCGTCTTCAAGGTCAAGTCCTCCTTCGCACTTATGCAAACTGATGTCTCGGTAAATGGGCGATTTCGAGTTGTCCTTTGATTTCAACCTGCGTGTCGCGGTTGAAAGTGGAAAAGTAAAAGAAGGGGGGTCGTGTGCCTGGTGTATTCCGTGATGGAGGTACGAGTGGGAGAGAATGCGAGCAGTGCGCAAATGCAAATGCCTCAATGACCGTGGCTCTTCCGTCAAGTGTCGGGGGATTTGTTGGAGCGTTTTCGAGAGATGTTGTCGCAACGTTTTGATCTGTGCATTCAACGCATACTAATTCCGATGCCTGTCGTCGAGATGCAGAGAATTTCGGCCTGGTCGCAGTAGGCAGGGAGACTCGAGGCTGGCGCGCAGAAGGAGGGAGGCAAGGAGGGGAGGGGGGGGGTGTGGTGGCAGGCGCTGGTGGGCATGAGAAGGAGGTCTCTCTGGGTCGGTAAGACTAAGAAATGCAGGTGCAGGGGAGTGGAGGAGGGAACCAGCCGTGGGAAAAGGACTCGGCTTTGCTTGGTTCACAGCCATCCACCCTGGAAATACTATGCCGCACCAGTCGTTGCCTGCACCTCCTCCCACTGCGCCAGCCGAAAGAGAGGGGCCTCCCTCCCAGCTAGGTACAGTACCAGCACCATCGTAGCACACCTTTGCTGCATGTACGCTAATTAGATGGGACGGGATGGGGATCCTCCAGCGAACGACCAGGCCGAAGAGCCCGAACAAGGGGGTAGGGCGACGGGTTGGTGGTTGGGTGCACATTGGGAGCACGCCTGAACAAAACATCTTTGTGGGTTCGTCTGTCCTCCCTGTATTGGGG